TTTTATAACTAATAGACTGTCAGACAACAAAGAAAAAAATTATACGGGCATAAAACGTAACTTTCATTTTGGCAGACACGAATTTGAAACACGGTTCAGCATCCTTATTCTTTTTGTAAATAAAAGACAGCATTAAAACAGCAACATTTTCTCTTATATCCTAATACTTTTCTTAACAAAACTTTTTACTTCTAAAAGTAAAATAGAATTGTTATTAGAAAAATGTATATAAGTCCCATCTTGCTGGCTTTTACTGTTTTCAATTGCAAAAAGTTTAACCTGTTTCTATGGAAAATCAACGATGAATTGCAGCAATTAAATATAACAACCGTTTGCTACAATCACAAAAATATATATAAAAAATATGATCACGTTCATAAATGCCCAAAAGGCGCAAAAACGGCAACAATCACCTAATAGACAGTAAAGAGCAAAACAGAGACAATAAAGCTACACAACAAACTTCAATCTATTTTCTATACTCTGTACTCTAACCAGACTATAGTCTACACTCCAACCATACTATAGTCTACACTCCAACCATACACTCTAACCATACTATGGTCTATACTCTGGCCAGACAATAGTCTGTACTCTAGTCAGACTAAAGTCTGTACTCTAGTCAGACTAAAGTCTGTACTCTGGTTAGACTAAAGTCTGTACTCTGGTCAGACTAAAGTCTGTACTCTGGCCAGACTAAAGTTTGTACTCTGGGCAGACTATAGTATGTAATCTGGCCATACGATAGTCTGTATTCTGGCCAGACAATAGTTTGTATTCTGGCCAGACTATAGTCTGTACTCTGGTCAGACTATAGTCTATACTCTGTCCACACTACAGTATGTACTCTGGCCAAATTATAGTCTATACTCTGGCCAGACTATAGTCTATACTCTGGCCAGATTATAGTCTATACAATAGTCTGTACTCTGGCCAGACTATAGTCTGTACTCTGGCCAGACTATAGTCTGTACTCTAGTCAGACTATAGTCTGTACTCTAGTCAGACTATAGTCTGTACTCTAGTCAGACTATAGTCTGTACTCTAGTCAGACTATAGTCTGTACTCTAGTCAGACTATAGTCTGTACTCTAGTCAGACTATAGTCTGTACTCTAGCCAGACTATAGTCTGTACTCTGGCCAGACTATAGTCTGTACTCTGGCCAGACTATAGTCTGTACTCTGGCCAGACTATAGTCTGTACTCTGGCCAGACTATAGTCTGTACTCTGGCCAGACTATAGTCTGTACTCTGGCCAGACTATAGTCTGTACTCTGGCCAGACTATAGTCTGTACTCTGGCCAGACTATAGTCTGTACTCTGGCCAGACTATAGTCTGTACTCTGGCCAGACTATAGTCTGTACTCTGGCCCAGACTATAGTCTGTACTCTGGCCAGACTATAGTCTGTACTCTAGTCAGACTAAAGTCTGTACTCTAGTCAGACTAAAGTCTGTACTCTGGTTAGACTAAAGTCTGTACTCTGGTCAGACTAAGTCTGTACTCTGGCCAGACTAAAGTTTGTACTCTGGGCAGACTATAGTATGTAATCTGGCCATACGATAGTCTGTATTCTGGCCAGACAATAGTTTGTATTCTGGCCAGACTATAGTCTGTACTCTGGTCAGACTATAGTCTATACTCTGTCCACACTACAGTATGTACTCTGGCCAAATTATAGTCTATACTCTGGGCCAGACTATAGTCTATACTCTGGCCAGATTATTAGTCTATACAATAGTCTGTACTCTGGACAGACTATAGTCTGTACTCTGGCCAGGACTATAGTCTGTTACTCTAGTCAGACTATAGTCTGTACTCTAGTCAGACTATAGTCTGTACTCTAGTCAGACTATAGTATGTACTCTAGTCAGACTATAGTCTGTACTCTAGTCAGACTATAGTCTGCTACTCTAGTCAGACTATAGTCTGTACTCTAGCCAGACTATAGTCTGTACTCTGGCCAGACTATAGTCTGTACTCTGGCCAGACTATAGTCTGTACTCTGGCCAGACTATAGTCTGTACGTCTGGCCCAGACTATAGTCTGTACTGGCCAGACTATAGTCTGTACTCTGGCCAGACTATAGTCTGTACTCTGGCCAGACTATAGGTCTGTACTCTGGCCAGACTATAGTCTGTACTCTGGCCAGACTATAGTCTGTACTCTGGCCAGACTATAGTCTGTACTCTGGCCAGACTATAGTCTGTACTCTGGCCAGACTATAGTCTGTACTCTGGCCAGACTATAGTCTGTACTCTGGCCAGACTATAGTCTGTACTCTGGCCAGACTATAGTCTGTACTCTGGCCCGACTATAGTCTGTACTCTGGCAGACTATAGTCTGTACCTGCTCTGGGCAGACTATAGTATGTACTCTGCCATACGATAGTCTGTTATTCTGCCCAGACAATAGTTTGTATTCTGGCCAGACTATAGTCTGTACTCTGGTCAGACTATAGTCTATACTCTGTCCACACTACAGTATGTACTCTGGCCAGACTATAATCTATACTCTGGCCAGACTATAGTCTGTACTCTGGCCAGACTATAGTCTGTACTCTGGCCAGACTATAATCTGTACTCTGGCCAGACTATAGTCCTGTACTCTGGCCAGACTATAATCTGTACTCTGGCCAGACTATAGTCTGTACTCTGGCCAGACTATAATCTGTACTCTGGCCAGACTAGAGTCTGTACTCTGGCCAGACTATAATCTGTACTCTGGCCAGACTATAATCTGTACTCTGGCCAGACTATAATCTGTACTCTGGCCAGACTATAATCTGTACTCTGGCCAGACTATAATCTGTACTCTGGCCAGACTATAATCTGTACTCTGGCCAGACTATAGTCTGTACTCTGGCCAGACTATAGTCTGTACTCTGGCCAGACTATAGTCTGTACTCTGGCCCGACTATAGTCTGTACTCTGGCCAGACTATAGTCTGTACTCTGGCCAGACTATAGGCTGTACTCTGGCAGACTATAGTCTGTACTCTGGGCAGACTATAGTATGTACTCTGGCCATACGATAGTCTGTATTCTGCCCAGACAATAGTCTGTACTCTGGCCAGACTATAGTCTGTACTCTGGCCAGACTATAGGCTTTACTCTGGCAGACTATAGTCTGTACTCTGGGCAGACTATAGTCTGTACTCTGGCCAGACTATAGTATGTACTCTGGCCATACGATAGTCTATATTCTGGCCAGACTATAGTCTGTACTCTGGCCAGACTATAGTCTGTACTGGCCAGACTATAGTCTGTACTCTGGTCAGACTATAGTCTATACACTGTCCACACTACAGTATGTACTCTGGCCAGACTATAGTCTATACTCTGGCCAGACTTTAGTTTGTACTCTGCCCAGACTATAGTCTGCACTCTGGCCAGACTATAGTCTGTACTTTGGCCAGACTATAGTCTGTACTCTGGCCAGACTATAGTCTGTACTCTGGCCAGACTATAGTCTGTACTCTGGCCAGACTATAATCTGTACGCTGGCCAGACTATAATCTGTACGCTGGCCAGACTATAATCTGTACTCTGGCCAGACTATAGTCTGTACTGTGGCCAGACTATAGTCTGTACTCTGGCCAGACTATAGTCTGTACTCTGGCCAGACTATAGTCTATACTCTGGCCAGACTATAGTCTGTACTCTGGCCAGACTATAGTCTGTACTCTGGCCAGACTATAGTCTGTACTCTGGCCAGACTATAGTCTGTACTCTGGCCAGACTATAGTCTGTACTCTGGCCAGACTATAGTCTGTACTCTGGCCAGACTATAGTCTGTACTCTGGCCAGACTATAGTCTGTACTCTGGCCAGACTATAGTCTGTACTCTGGCCAGACTATAGTCTGTACTCTGGCCAGACTATAGTCTGTACTCTGGCCAGACTATAGTCTGTACTCTGGCCAGACTATAGTCTGTACTCTGGCCAGACTATAGTCTGTACTCTGGCCAGACTATAGTCTGTACTCTGGCCAGACTATAGTCTGTACTCTGGCCAGACTATAGTCTGTACTCTGGCCAAACTATAGTCTGTACTCTGGCCAGACTTTGGTCTATACTATGGCCAGACTATAGTTTATACTCCGGAAAGACTATAGTCAACAGTCTAGCCAGACTATAGAATTCTAGCAACCCTATAGTCAGCAGTCTAGCCAGACTGCTATAAACTGGTCATTCCCATGGAAGGTTTTGTCTCGTTGAAGAAAATGTTGAGTTATGTTGTTAACATTTGTTTTGCACCCCACTGTTTTGTTGATTCTATATAATCCTTACCAACATTTCTATAAAATTGACAAATACCTCGACAAAGAAACACAGTTATAGTCACACACACCCACATATAACCATTTAACGACTTAATCGTCAGTCAGGTGTTGTTGCAACATTATTGGCAACAATAATATAAAAAAAATCCAGTTATTGGCCTATTCAACAAACAAGCAAATGATAACAATTACAGCAACAACCAAAGAACACACTCAAAACTGTATAGAAAAAATTATTGTTAAAAATCAACGTAAATTTTTGGCGCGTGTTCAAAATTTTATGTCAAAAAACTGTTTTTTTTTTCACATTCTTTCTTTTAGTTTGTTGCCTGCTGTGTTACAAATACTTTTTATCCAACTGACACGTCAATGGGGTGTATCCGTCTATTGACAAAGGTGGAGTGAGCGTACAAATAGGATATGAGTCGTTTAAAACACTTGTTACAACAGGATGTGCTTGTAAGTTGCATGTAATATAACAACAACAACAACAGCATGTAGTTGTTGTAGTTGGTGGCAAGAAATGGGGAAAAAAATAAACACAATAATCGATTGAAATTATTAAGTGTTTTTGAAAAGTGGAATAAAATGAATGAACTGTTAAGAGCCACGAAAAAGATGGGAAAAACTAAGTAATGTAATAGAGTGAGGGATTTTTAAACAAAAAGGATTTTTTAAATTTAAAAACTTTAGCAATTTTATGAATTTTTCTGTTATAGTTTTTTATTTTATTTTATTCCTTTCCAAAAGTATACAATTTATTTCTTTTTCCTAAAATCATCATCATAGTCATCATCTTCTTCATCCTCCTCCCCCAAACGAAGCATTCCAGTTTCTGCATTTGCATCATAATCAGGTAAATCAATAGCAATACCATCATCTAAAGAACGAGCTGCAGCAGCTGGTGGTCCTGGAGGACCAACTGGACCAATGGGACCTACAGGACCTGGTGGTCCGGCAGGGCCACGTTCACCTGGATAACCACGTCTACCGCGACGACCTGGTGGTCCTATGGGACCAGGAATACCAGTGCGACCAGGAGAACCTCTTTGACCCTGAGGTCCTGATGGACCTGTACGTCCGGGTAGACCTTCAGGACCTTTATCACCCTTAGGCCCCTGAACACCAGGTAAACCAGCAGGGCCTGGTGGACCAGGAGGACCTGGTTGGCATATACATTGATTTTGAGGTAAAATAACAGCAGCTGCTTGTTGTCTATGTCCTAGTAAAGCTCTCTGTTCTCCCAGATCACTATAGCGTTTGGCCGATACGCAAAGCACGAGGGCAAAAAAAGCTGAAATGTTAAGGAATACAATTAAATAAAGATTTTTTACTACAAACTACAGTTTACTATAGTAAACAGATTACTATAATAAGTTTACCATAGTAAACTTGTAAACTATAGTAAACTTTACTTTAACAGTTTACTATAGTTAACTGTTTAATTTAAGAGTTAATATAGTAAAGTTTTTAACATTTCACGATAGCAAACAAATTATTTTAACAGTTTACTATAGTAAAAGGTTTACTATAACAGTTTACTATTGTAATAAATAGTTTTTTGACAGTTAACTATAGTAAACCAAATTATTTAATAAACAGTTCATTTGAACAGTTTACTATATTAAACAGTTCATTTGAACAGTTTACTATAGTAAACAGTTCATTTGTACAGTTTACTATTGTAAACAGTTCATGTGAACAGTTTATTATAGTAAACAGTTCATTTGAACAGTTTACTATAGTAAGCAGACCATTTTTTATTACAAACTACAGTTTACTATAGTAAACAGATTACTATAATAAGTTTACCATAGTAAACTTGTAAACTATAGTAAACTTTACTTAAACAGTTTACTATAGTTAACAGTTTAATTTAATTAATTAACAGTTCATTTGAACAGTTTACTATAGTAAACAGTTCATTTGAACAGTTTACTATACAAATAGTTCATTTGAACAGTTTACTATAGTAAACAGTTCATTTGAACAGTTTACTATACTAAACAGTTTATTTGAACAGTTTACTATAGTAAAGAGTTCATTTGAACAGTTTACTATAGTAAACAGTTCATTTGAACAGGTTACTATAGTAAACAGTTCATTTGAACAGTTTACTATAATAAACAGTTCATTTACACAGTTTACTACAGTAAATAGTTCAATTCAATAGTTTGCTACAGTTTAAACACTTAATTTGAATAGTTTACTATAGTAAACAGTTCATGTGAACAGTTTATTATAGTAAACAGTTCATTTGAACAGTTTACTATAGCAAGCAGACCATTTAGACAGTTTACTATAGTAAACAGCTCATTTGAGCAATTTACTATAGTAAGCAGTTCATTTGAACAGTTTACTATAGTAAACATTTCAATTCAATAGTTTGCTATAGTAAGCAGTTCAATTTAACAGTCTATTATAGTAAACTTTTAATTTTAACAGTTTACTATAGTAAACAGTTTACATTGAAAGTTAAATACAGCAAACAGTTTTTAGCAGCTCACTATAGCAAAAATTTTCTGTTAACACTTTACTATAGTAAAGAGTTTACTACTGTAGACAGTTTACTTTCTCAGTTTATTATAGTAAACAGTTTCCTTCAACAATTCACTATAGTAAGCAGTTTATTTTAAAAGTTTACTATAGTAAACAGTTTTATTTAACGTTAAGTATAACAAAAGCAAAAAGATTCCTTTAGTTTGAAGTTAAACAGTTTACTATAGTAAACAGTTAATTTTATCAGTTTACTAGAGTCGAAAGTTTATTTGAACAGTCTAATATAGTTTCCAATTTCCTTTCACAATTGTTCATGCCAATCTGCTTGCTTTGATAATTTACCATACCAAACAGTTTGCTTTAATAGTTTACTAGACCAAATTGTTTATTATCGACAGTTTAATCAAGAATTGTTTAAAAAATTACCAAAAATATTTAAAGATGATTGTAATGTTTTCATGGTGAAATTTTAAAACAAACTATAATTTTTACCTAAACAAACCCGAGTTTTTATATGTTTTTTAAACATTTAGTTTACCCACAAACAAAATTCGCCAATAGATCTTTATCTAGTCTAAGAATCTTTTAATAAACTATTAAGTTCATAGCCTACAACTTTCTTTAGGTTGAAAAACAATTAACTTAATTTAACGATCAAAGATATTGATCTTAAGAAATTACTGAGAACTTTGTAAAGAACTTTAGTTACTATAAATTAAGTAATTTAAGAAAATTTAAGTTAGTTAGTTTTTAGCAACAATGAAGTTAGCGGTTGTAATAATAATTGGTAAATTTTGAAAGTATTAAAAAGTATTGAGAAAAAAGGTTTAAAATAAAGTTCTTATTTCCAAGGTTTTTGTGGCTTTGCTTTAACTCCGGCTCAAATATACACCCAAATAGGACCCCCTGGTCCTCCAGGACCACCAGGTCCTAACGGCTTGCCTGGTCCAAAAGGTGAAATAGGTGATAGAGGTCCAGAAGGTAGACCGGGAAATCCAGGCTCTCGGGGTCCTACTGGTAGACGTGGCAAAACTGGTCCCCCTGGTCTCATAGGCCCTCCTGGTACCCCTGGTATAAGAGGACCTCGCGGTTATGATGGTGAACGTGGTCCTGAAGGCCCAGCTGGACCTATGGGTCCCATTGGTCCTGCAGGTCCTCCAGGACCAGCGGCAGCACCTGCAGCCCCAGCACCTACAGCTCCTGCCGCTCCACCTACTGATCCAGCCCCTGCTCCAGATACAGCCCCAGCCCCAGCAGGTAGAATTGGCATCAATGACTTCCGACGACGTAATAATTTCCGTCTACGTGGTAATGCTCAAGACGACGATGATGATTATGAACATTATAATCGTCGACATATATATGAATTGTAACTTTTAACCTCTGAAAAATGTAAAATAAAATCTAAAAGATAAATTTATATTTTAAGCTTTTGTATTCTGAAATCAATGTTAGACTCTGAACTAAATCTTCATTAAATGAATGATTTTTTTGTTTGTTTCTTTTCCTAGAGTTATTTACTAGGAAAAACTTCCCTTTTAGCAATTAAAATTCATAAGTTTTTCTATTGTTTTGTCTATTTAGATTTCTTGTTGTGTTTAGTTTATTGTCTTCGCTGTGAAATTTTGAGGAAAGAAAGTCGGTACACGAAGAAAATGTTTCAATTCTTTAGATATATTCTGTAGAAAAGTTGCTACAATTTGTTAACTATATAGTCAATATAAATAATAGTATATTGTTGCCAGTTTACTATAGTGAAAAGATTTCTTAATAACCATACAATGGTGAACAGTTTATATTAACAGTTTTATTGAATAGTTTGATATATGAAACAACTTCATTTCATAATAACTTAAATGTTTTTTTAACAGTTAACTATAGCGCTAAGCAATTTACTATAGCAAACAATATATATAATGGTGGGTATAGCAAGCAGTTCACATAAAACAGTTTACTATAGTAAATAGATCATTATACCCTACACCACTACGGTGGGGAGGGTATATTGGGTTTGTGCTGATGTTTGTAACGCACAATAATATTGGTCCTATACCTACTCTAAAGTGTACCAATCGGCTTAGAATCATTTTCTGAGTCGATTTAGCTATGTCCGTCTGTCCGTCCATCCGTCCGTATGTCCATCCATCCGTCTGTAGGCTGTTAGTTAGTTAGTTAGTTAGTTAGGTAGTTAGTTAGTTAGTTAGTTAGTTAGTTAGTTAGTTAGTTAGTTAGTTAGTTAGTTAGTTAGTTAGTTAGTTAGTTTAGTTAGTTAGTTAGTTAGTTAGTTAGTTAGTTAGTTAGGTAGTTAGTTAGTTAGTTAGGTTAGTTAGGTTAGTTAGTTAGTTAGTTAGTTAGTTAGTTAGTAGTTCGTTAGTTAGTTAGTTACGTTAGTTAGTTCGTTAGTTAGTTAGTTAGTTAGTAGGTAGTTAGGTTACGTTAGTTCGTTAGTAGTAGTTAGTTAGTTAGTTAGTTAGTTAGTTAGTTAGTTAGTTAGTTAGTTAGTTAGTTAGTAGTTAGTTAGTTAGTTAGTTAGTTAGTTAGTTAGTTAGTTAGTTAGTTAGTTAGTTAGTTAGTTAGTTAGTTTAGTTAGTTAGTTAGTTAGTTAGTTAGTTAGTTAGTTAGTTAGTTAGTTAGTTAGTTAGTTATATCACTGTTTTGTTAGTTTTCTAGTTAGTTATTGTTATTGTCTAAATGTCGTTGAACTAAATTCTTCGTTCACATCTGTCTCTACAAGAGTTCTGTCCCTATTAATTGTATCTGTATGTGTAATAGATATATGTCCGTATTGCTTATATGTGTAGTATGTTCCTATGGGTGTATAGTTCATTTATTTAAATTGATTTCTTCTTTTTCTGTTTTTGCTGTGTTTTATATATTTGTAAGGATTCTTTGTTGTTTGTTAATTTTTGTTAATTAAGTATGAAAATAATTTTATGCAAATTAAATGTTTTAATTTTCTGTTACTAATTGCCATGTTGTTGTCGTCGTCGTTGTTTATGCTGTTGCTTTTGTTGTTGGTTTTTATTGTCATATTAAATAATTAAATAAAATTTACACAATTTATTTTAAAACTTGTCACATATTTATATTGTGATTTAAAATAGCAAAGAGATATTAATTGTTTACTCTAGGGCATAGAAATTAAATTTCTGGAATATTTAATTGTTGTGCGTGTGTGTTTTTTTAAAAATAAATTAAGCAAATAATTTAAATTGTAGCTGTAATTAAACAGGGACTTAAATATTTGCAAAGTTGTTTTTAAAAGTTCACTTTGGTTAAATGTTTTTATTTAAGGTTTATTATAGTAAAGTGTTGGTAGTAATGGTCTACTATAATAAGAAGTTTACCATAGTGTAAATGTTGTTATTAGCGGTTTCCTATTGTAAAGTGTTGCTATTAACGTTTGACTATAGTAATAACTCTTTCCGCTGACAGCAAACTTTAGAAGTTTAAAAGTTTGATATAGTACTGTTGCTCTTGCTACTTTACCATAGTAAATTTTGTCTATTGATAGTGTGCTTGAGTAAACAGTTGCTATTGATAATTTACTATAGCAAACTGCTGTAGTAAACTGTTTGTATCGACAGTTTTACATCTTATAATGTTTAATTGCCAATTTTCTGTAGTAAAACTTTTCTATTGACAGTTTACTGTAGCAAAGTGTTTATACTTTTCTATAGTAAACTGTTTCTACTAACTGTTTGAAAGTTCCCTTAATTGATAGTTTACTGTTGTAAACTGATTCATTGGATATTTTTTCTATAGTAATCTTTTCACACTGATTATTTACTACAACAAACTTCTATTGTAAATAGCTTTTAAATATATTTCATGTAATTAACGGATTTTCTTATTATTTTACTTTAATAAACAAATAAAATGAATAATTTACTATGGCAAACTACTATAGCAAACTATTTGCAGCAATAGTTTGATATAGTAAACTGATTATATTGTTACTATAATATAGTAAACTGTTTATAAAAACTGTTTACCACAGTAAATAACCACTGTGAATGATTCTTATAGATATCTTGTAATAGTAAATAGTTTTCGAAGACAATTTACTATACTAAACAGTTTTAGTTAACTGTTTTCTACAGCCATCTGCTTCTTTTATTTTTTACTATAGTAAACCATTCTATTAGTAGTAAACAGTTTCTTTTGTAGTTTCTTACCTTAAACGACTTCTATTGACGGTTTACTTTGACAAACTGCTACTTTTGACAGTTTACTATAGCAGTTTATGTAAAAAAATACAATTGTGAACTATTGCTATTGATTGCTGGCTATAGTAAACAGTTTCTGTTGACAATATACTATAGTAAACAGTTTCAGTTAACAGTTTACTACAACAATCTGCTTGTATTGTTTTTCAACTATAGTAAAGTGTTAATATTGATAGCTTACCATAGCAAATTACTATAGTAAACTGTTTATTTGATAGTTCCTTATGGTAAACTTTTACTGTTGACCTTTTACTATGGTAAACAGTTACTTTTGATAGTTTACTATAGAAATTTATGTAAAAAAATTACAATTGTGAACAATTTCTATAGATTGCTTGCTATAGTAAACAGTTCCTATTGATCATTTACTATAGTAAACAGGTTTAGATAACAATTTACCATAGCCAACTGCTTGTTTTATTTGTTTACTATAGTAAACCATTCATATTGATAGTTTACTACAGCAAATTACTATAGTAAATTGTTTCTTTGGTAGTTCTTTTCTTTAAGCGATTTCTGTTGATCGTTTATTTTAACAAACTGATACTTTTGACTGTTTACTATAGCAGTTTATGTAAAATATTACAATTGTGAACGATTGCTATTGATTGCTTGCTATAGTAAACAGTTTCAGTTAACAGTTTACTATATCAATATGCTTCTATTGTTTTTCAACTATAGTAAAGTACTCTTATTGATAGTTTACCATAGCAAATAACTATAGTAAACTGTTTATTTGGTAGTTCCTTACGGTAAACATTTACTGTATACCTTTTACTACGGTAAACAGTTACTTTTGATAGCTTACTATAGAAATTTATGTAAAAAAATTACAATTGTGAACAATTTCTATAGATTGCTTGCTATAGTAAATAGTTCCTATTGACCAATTACTATAGTAAACAGGTTTAGATAACAATTTACCACAGCCAACTGCTTGTTTTATTTGTTTACTATAGTAAACCATTCATATTGATAGTTTACTACAGCAAATTACTATAGTAAATTGTTTCTTTGGTAGTTCTTTTCTTTAAGCGATTTCTGTTGGTCGTTTATTGTGACAATCTGCTACTTTTGCCAATTTACTATAGCAGTTTATGTAAAAAAATTACAACTGCGAACGATTGCTATTGATTGCTTGCTATAGTAAACAGTTTCTGTTGACAATTTACTATAGTAAACAGTTTCAGTTAACAGTTTACTATAGCAATATGCATATTAATAGTTTATCATAGCATATTACTATAGTAAACTGTGTCTTTGGTAGTTCCTTACGGTAAACTTTTACTGTTGACCTTTTTCTATGGTAAACAGCTACTTTGATAGTTTACTATAGCAGTTTACGTAAAAACTTACAATTGTGAATAATATCTATAGATTGCTTGCTATAGTAAACAGATTTTGTTGAACATTTACTATAGTAAACAGTTTTAGTTAACAATTTACTATAGCAATATGCTTCTATAGTTTTTAAACTACAGTAAAGTTTTCATATTGATAGTTTACCCTAGCAAATTACTATAGTAAACTGTTTCTTTGGTAGTTCCTTACGGTAAACTTTCACTATTAACCTTTTACTATGGAAAAGAGCTACTTTTGATAGTTTACTATAGCAGTTTATGTAAAAAAATTACAATTGTGAACTATTTCTATAGATTGCCTGCTATAGTAATCAGTTTCTGTTGACCATTTACTATAGTAAACAGTTTTAGATAACTATTTGCTACAGCCAACTGCTTGTTTTATTTGTTTACTATAGTAAACCATTCATATTGATAGTTTATTATAGCAAATTACTATAGTAAATTGTTTCTTTGGTAGTTCTTTACTTTAAACGATTTCAGTTGGTCGTTTAATTTGACAAACTGCTACTTTTGACAGTTTACTATAGCAGTATACGTAAAAAATTACAATTGTGAATGATTGCTATTGACTGCTTGCTATAGTAAACAGTTTCTGATCACAATTTACTATAGTAAACAGTTTCAATTAACAGTTTACTATAGCAATATGCTTCTATTGTTTTTCAACTATAGTAAAGAGTTCATATTGATAGTTTACCATAGCAAATAACTATAGTAAACTGTTTATTTGTTAGTTCCTTACGGTAAACTTTTACTGTAGACCTTTTACTATGGTAAACAGTTACTTTTGACAGTTGACTATAGCAGTTTGTGTAAAAAATTACAGT